CAGATAAGTCTCCAACCTCGCGGCTGGCGTCATGCTACTTCCACCGATAGGATGAGCAAAATTGAATGAATCTTCCGCTAGAGCATGGAAATATACACTACCTGGTTGAATATGTCCGACACCTGCAATCAACGGCGCGGCGCAAAACAAACCTGCAGCGAAAAAAGACCGCGTTCATAAAGCCACGCCAACACCAACCCAAAAGAAAAACGGCCGTAAACAAAAGACTGCGCCGCGCCAACACCAACCCAAAAAAAAAAATGGCCGTAAACAAAAAAAGGCGTCGGGCCCGCGCGGGAAAAAGGTCTCAGCGGGACGCGTCACGCGAGACCCTCTGTTGCCTTTAAGAGTATAGGGATATTAATGTATTGCCCACGTATATTCTTTTTTATGGACGGTCTATCATGGTTTGTGGATGGAATGGGAGAGAGAGTTTGTTTTTTTTTGACAACACATTCAGCTTTATGTATGCCCTTTTTTGGAAGTTTTTCCTGTGTTTTTTGTGTGTCTTTCTTTGTGCGTGCCGAATTGAGCACCTCTAAGAAGGGCTAAATACTAAATAGTCAGTGGACGGTTGTTCGGGGTGCCTTTACACTATTAGCGGAGCCACTGAGTTGGGGATGTCTGTGGTGGATGCGGTCTATGGGTGATGACAGACGTTCATTGGAGTGACTTTCTGGCTCAGCAGGCGTGGTGGGAACCAACAGTCTGTGGGGTTCTACTTGTGCTTGGAGTAGGTGATGGATTGCTTTGGTCTGTTTTGCTTGTCTATTTGCTGTGTAGTCTGGTTGGCTTGTCAATGCTGCTTTGTGCGTCGCTGCCTTGTCATCCAGTGCGTTTTGCTTGTGTGCTGTGTAGTTCGGCTGCTTTTGCTGCATTGCCTTGTGCTTCGCCGTGTAGTCTGTCTTTTTTTTTTTTTTTTTTACAACACACTCAGCTTTATTTATGCCCTTTTTGTTGCGTTGCCTTGTGCTTCTGCTTTTTTTTACTACTTTTTTTTTTT